TTGTTATTGTGTTGTTTCCCTCGATGTGCGGTCTCAGTTCTTCGGCTAACGAATACAGGGATTCTCGACCCATCCTAAAATTTTCTCTCCACTCTTCTGGTAACACAATTCGGCTGGAAAAGTTTTCCCACCAAGCATTGGTTCGCCCTAGCCTTACACAGAATCTTCGTGGTCTAGATGGCTTCTTATTTAATCGTTTTAGAACGATTTTTTGTGAGGATGAGACGGAAAGCATCTTCATTAAATTCTTACGCCTTCTGAAATATTCTTCCTGAACGTTTAACATTGTAACATGCAGCTTGAATGCAATTATAACAGCCCAAGTAAAACAGCCATAAAATTTTGGTTGGCCATCTTAGATTATTAATAAGGATACAAAACACGCGCCATATCGACTGGACTCGACTAACAACATCATCGTATTTGAAAACCTCCTTTTTTGCCAGCTATTTTTAAAATAGGGAATGGGGATTGCGGGAATGGGAGAATGCGGGAATGCAGGAATGGGGGGATGCGGGAATGGGGAAATGCGGTAATGGGGAACAGGGACCGAAGAAAGGAAGGGCTTGGGAGCGCGAAAACTAGGGGGTGGGGAAGCAGGGAATGCGCCATATTATTATAATTTATGTAAGCATATATTAGTAAAAGAATCTCGTGAAAAATTCCTCTCTTCTTTTGTTTTTGGTTTGTCTTGAACTACAACCATTGGTATTTACTCCTCGTTTGAGTCCTTTCCTTAATACTAGCGATGGAGGAACTGGGGAGTGGGAGAACTGGGGAAATAGTAGAACTGGGGAGCAGGAAAAATGAGGAATTGGTAGAACCTGTTTCCAGGGGAACGGAGGAAAAAGAGAATGAGGGAGGGAACCAGGGATGGGGAGCTTTTCACAATAACAATTAACACTTGCCAGGTTGGCATTAATAACAAGAAATATATTTGTGATTAGCTTCCTACCAGATGCAGAGAAGGATAATAATGTATACACGCCTATGATGTGGATAATATATATTAGCAGTTGTTCCTTTTAGGCTCAAGGCTGTTACTATTGGTTAATCTGCCCAATGAGTCCATAGTTCCACTGTTACCCTGTTCCCTCGTTCCCCATTTCCCAGTTCTCCCCGTCTCCCTGTTGCCCGGCCCCTGTTCCCCCATTTCTGCATTCCCCCATGCCCGCATTCCCAAATTTCGCATTGTTTACTCCCTATTTTAAAGACAGCCCAAGTGTTTTGTCTATTTTAGGCAGTTATACCACATTCGATGCTAAGTTGTTTGAAAACACTTCTCCCCGGCCCCTATATATATATATATTTTAACGGGGTAATGTAAACCGGGCCGGGTATATATATATATAAATATATATATATATATATATATATATATATATATATATATATATATTTATATATATATATATATATATATATATATCATTATAATATATATATATAATAATGATATAATAATCATTATTATATATATAATAATGATATAATAATCGATCATTCGCCTCATGATCGTTTCAGAAGAAACGTGAAACACAGAGTGTTGCGAACAATATATTCAAAAATTTTATATATATATATATATATATATATATATATATATATATATATATATATATATATATATATATATATATATATATATGTTTACTTGGAGTTGTATCTGGTTTAAAAACAATTTATTAAAAAGATTCTAGATTAAAAAGTACTAAATTTTCAGTAGCTAACCTCTACCTTCATCAGAGTTCTAATGTTCAAGCAGTATAGACAGACTATTATGTAGTGTCACTATCCTTGCATGATTGAATAATTGGTATATAAATTTGAGGAAAATGTTTATGCTCATTCACTGATCTTTTGTCCAAAACCGAGTGCAATGACTTAAGGAAGAGTCTTTTGTTTGCGTTATGCACTTTCTTTTCCAAAATCCTAGCATTCTCCATTGACACTTCATGACCGGTATTTTCTGCATGGTCTTTAATCGCTGACTTAATCTCTCGTCGTACGCCAGGTTTATGCTCAGCCCATCTCGATTTCCATGATCTTTTACTCTCGCCGATATAAGTGAATTGACAATCTGGACATTCAAACTTATATACAATGCCTTTTATTTCAGAATCTAATTGTTTATCTTTAGGTTTCCCAAGTATATCACCCAAATTTTGCATAGGTTTATATGCCGTACGTACGCCAGCGGTGTGTAAGACTCGCTTGATTTGTTCGGATACCCCTCTTACATATGGGATGCTTGTGAAACAAGTGGCGTTACTAGGTGTAGATTGAGCTTGAGTTGGTTGAATGGATATATATATATATACATATATATATATATAATATATATATATATATAATATATATAATATATATAATATATATGTATATTTTTCATTAAAAATTTAAAGCACTACAGTTCTGTTTCGAGAGGCCTATTAAAGCTCCTCTCTCTTCAGGTGCGTGTTCAGATTGAATTGGAATATCCCGTGTATCGATCGTTCATAGTGGTGTAATACCTATCCATTCTTAATTAAAAACGTATTTGCATGCCGGCATGCACTAGTCAGTTCGTTTCTTTTGTTGAGAGTACAATACTCGGGTTTAAAAATAGTGAAGTACTTTTCCATTATGCATAAATTACATTTTTTCCCGATATGTGAATACGAGCTTGCACGAGCCATTATTTTCCAATCTATAGCGTATCTGAATATATATATATATATATATATATATATATATATATATATATATATATATATATATATATATATATATATATATATAGTGCGCGAAAATGCGAAAAGCAATTTCTATCTAAAATTACAAATGCCAATATATATATTCCTCACTCCCTATGTATATATAGATAGATAGATAGATAGATAGATACTCGAAATCGAATTAGAATTGCATATGATTACATTTGCATGGGATTTCAATCATATGACACAACATATGCAATTCTAATTAGATTTCGAGTTTCATATCTAAAACTATGTTTGCATGTTAGATGTAAAAACCTAATCCAATTTTAAATTAAATTGATTGAGATATTGCCCTTTTTGGTGTTCTAAAAGATTGCGATGCCCGCTGCTCGTATTTTTGGGTTTTTTTATGGATCGAGGCGGCAATCTTACTTGTTTCATGGCTTTTGATCATGCGGAACAATACAATCAGCAAGAGCCATATCCGTTTAATTGTTAGGTAACAGTTCTATTGAAACTATTCACCAGTTACGTTTGAAGCTTTTGAAACACCCTAACAAATAATTAACAATTAACAGCGCGCGCTTTTGATCAAGTTAGGATTGTAGCGTGAACTTACAAACAAATATTTGTATTAGGCTTTGCAGGAACATCAAATCGTTACACTGAAAAAATGCCATATTGTAAAATAAAAATACAAATTTGTATAAATGGTTCGATCGAGCAATGGAATATCGAACAAATTTTTAGAAACATCCACTCTCAAACATCCAGATTTTTGTAATATTCCTTCTTACTTTGTGTCAAGTAAAAGAAAACCAATAAGAAATCAGTATTTTCTTACACTGCGGCGAATCCGAAACGATTAAATTACGCAGATGAGTCAGAGCCCGCAAAGATAAGTCAAGATCCTTCTAAGCTAATGAAATGGTTAGAATCAGACGCCGATGAGGAGAGATTCAAGCGACATGTAACCTCGTAGTAGTCATCTTTGAAAAAAATCGATGATATACTACAGCCCCCCCAGTTCAAATCATCCGAATAGCGTCCATTTTCGCCGTATATATGAACTGTTAAAAGTGGAAACCTACAATGTGAGACTTCCCTTTTGTGAAAATTACACATTTAAAGTTTTCCCACCATGAAATCTATAGTTCATGCATATTCATTTCGGAAGGTATAGCCAACCTAAATCCATTCTAATTAAATTACTTTTAGTGATTTTAACGCTTTTTGGGTTTTTTGAGATACCTTGCATGCATTTTAGGTACTTTGTTGTTTATCACATTAAGCTCAACCTGCTAAACCGCCCACTCGGGATAGCCATTAAGGAATTTCACTTTATGACCTGAAACAAGCGCTTTAGCAATTATAATATTACCACAATTTTTGGGGCAGATCATGCATGTCAAAGCAATAAATTATAATACTAGCAATCATAATTTCTGGGGTAAAACTCGCCTTCACATATGGCTGTTGTCGACATTTTGATGTCGTGACCGTGCGAATTCGGTATAATGTAAACCGGGCCTAATTAATACACAATTCATTGCTGTTCGTTCATTCACTTTTAAAACGCTCATTAAAAGTAATGAACTCGAATTTTACATATACCAAGAATAAATCATACGGTGTCGCCTAGCTACGCGTTTTAGGGTGTAATAGACCGAGAAACCAATATTATATACGAAAACAGGTGTTTAAATTAACTGGTGGGTTTCACAAAAATTATATCAGGAAATCTTTAAAGAATCCCAGATGGAGAATTATGATTAGTTTGCAATACGAAATAATTTTTAAATCATGCAAGGCTCTAATAGCTCGCTTTATTTACTATAATAATAGTTTTCTTTCAATTGCCGTTCCCACATTATAGCAGATTCCTGTCGCTGCTTAAAAGGTTTAAATTCAAAGTATATTTACACAATTCAGTGATGCTAAAAACTCCCACAGTGTCCTAAGGCAAGGTTTATTATCGGTTGTATAATCATCTAAAACTATGTTTGCACGTTGGATGTACAAAACCTAACCGCATTTTAATGTTATGGTTTTTTATGGATTGAGGCGGCAATCTTACTGGTTTCATGGCTTTTGATCATGCGGAACAATACAATCAGCAAGAGCCACATCCGTTTAATTGTTAGGCAACAGTTCTATTGAAACTATTCACCAGTTTGAAGCTTTTGAAACACCCTAACAAATAATTAACAATTAGCAGCGCGCGCTTTTTGATCAAGTTAGGATTGTAGCGTGAACTTACAAACCAAGATCTGCATTGGGCTTTGCAGGAACATTGTAAAATAAAAGTACAAATTGGTATAAATGGCGCGATCAGCAGTGGAATATCCAAAAGATTTTTAAAAACATGCACTCTAAAACATCCAGATATTTTGTAATATTATTTATTTACTTTGTGTCATGTAATGCAAACCAAAAAGAAATCCGTATTTATCTTCCACCTCCAGCCAATATAGGAAATGCTTAAATCGCACAGATGAGTCAGAGATACATAAGTCAAGATCCTTCGGGGCTAATGAAATGGCTAGAATCAGACGCCTAACGATGACGATGTAACCTAATAGTACATAACGTCTTTGAAAAAAATCGATGATATACTGCAATTCTTCAGTTCAGCTGTATATGCATGCGGATTGTGAAAGTTGAAACCAACAATGTGAGGCTTCCTTTTTGTGGAAATTGCACATTTAAATTTTCCCACTATGAAATCTATGGTGTAGCTAACCTAAATAGATTCTAATTAAATTACTTTTCGTGATTTTGATGCTTATGCGTTTTTTGGAGATTACTTTGCATGCATTTTAGGCAATTTGTTGTTCTATCACATTAAGTTCTTGCCTGCTAAACCGTTGTGACGTGGCTAACTTCAATGTCGTGGCCATGCGAACCCAGCAGTTTGGTGTAAATTTACAGTGTAATATAGACCGAGAAGATGTTTAAAATAACTGGTGAGGTTCACAAAAATTATAAGGAATTCTTTATAGGGATAAACTATTTGAGGAATTCCAGATACTTTGAAATTACTGACTGCAAAATTGCACTTTTGCATGGGTGTTCTAAAGGCCGGTTCTAAAGGCGCGTTGTTCGTCCATTTGTTGTGGTTATTTATGGATTGTGTCGGCAATCTAACTTCTTTCATGGTTTTTTGATCATGTGGAACAACACAATCAGCAAGAGCCACATCCGTTTTATTGTTAGGCACCATGAGAAACTATTCACGAGTTTGAACCTTTTGAAACACCCTCACAAATAATCAACAACGCTATTTTTTCTGCGTGCGATATAAAAGGGGCACTATCGAACTGCTTCTATCATACAGACTTTGCCGTCTCAGAGTAAAGCATAGCTATACATTTCTGGAGATAATTGTTTACAAGAGAGCAAGTACTTAAACACAAAGTAAGAGCAATCTTGCACCGAATGGACCTCTTCAACTATGCACTATTTTTATTTAGTCTCAATAATTTAAGTCATTCTGAAAATCATTGGCAGATTTTTTAACAATGCTTGAACTTTTGTTGCATAGATATGAAGCTGTTGTTCACTTTTCTGGTTGCAATGCTCGTATTGGTGAGTAACGAGTTGTTGTACTTGTACACTAAATAGTAATCGCTAGCTAGTATATTGTGACATTTCACAGACGTGTAAATCTGCTATTTCCTTCCTTTTGGTTATGGAAGTTTAATTGAGGGGGGGGGGGGAGCGACGCATCTTATCGGTAATAAGGAGTGTATAAGCAACGAAGACTTAAAACGATTTTAGCGCCTAAGACTGAAAAGATTCTGTAACAAAGATCAACAAACTATAACAATCTTTATAACAAACTATAACAAGATCTTTAAGGAAATGGCAATATTATAGGTCATAATAACCCTAACTACATTGTTACTGGGGAACTAAGCGAAGTTCGTAGATACTCTTTAACGTTTAGCTGGACTCAGCCATTACCATGACATTGCCTAGTTTTCTTTTGCTAGGTAATTATAATAATTTGTATTTGTACAGTAGAAAAAAATTTACAAACAGATGGATTTCATCCTTTTTTAGGTACACGGCGACGCTTCAAATATCGAATTTAGGAAGTTTGCAGAGGTACAGCTTATTAATATGCCGATATACAGTGGCGTAGTCAGAATGGGGCCGGTTGTTCGAAAGACGTTTAGCTGAAACGGTGAATAAGTTCAACATGGAAAACAAAAATATCTATTTATTATACAACTAAGCTGAAATATTTCGATGTAAATAGTTCAATTTTCATTGGAAGTACATTTAAAGCAAAAGAAGTAGCTCCAGTTATTTATGAGAGTATTTTTAAACCTTTCGCTTATCCACCGTTTAAGCTAAACGTCTTTCGAACAACCAGCCCCTGACGACTTGGTCGCGCTTTGCATATATAAAAATAAATTTGATTTTATCATTTTTTTATTTCTTTTGAAACTAATTGCTTTCACAGCGGGAAATCACCAAGGCCATGCACGCTATTGCTCATAATAATTGCATATATTGCTTGAGTTCCCTTTATTATTTGTTTATTGCATAGCTGAATAGCAATTAAAAACAGTGTTAATACACGTTTATTGTAGTCAATTGGCCTAGTTTCCATGTCTTCCCGTTTTAGTGGGACAGGGTTATATTCAATCATTCGCTTCTTTACAAAAAAACAAGGCCAAGATGTACGTAGACAATTTGACTCGGGGCCTAAAACTTTTGAACAGTACTGTAGTATTCTTTAAATAAAGAAGACTAGTGAGGGTGAGCAATTTTATATATAAAGAATAATAACAAGCTTGCCGCAAACAGTCTAATATGAACAAAATCTTTTATTAAGGAAAATTCAATCACAGATTAACATTCACTGTACCCAACCGTGCATTGATTATTAAAAAATAACAGTACAATTGTTAAACACATGCATATGCATGCCGCATGCAGTCGAAACACAAGCATTTCGTCATATTCAAAGATTGCGTTTGAGCGATGACCAGTTCGTTCTCGAATTAACTGATTTTTGTTCTACTGAATTTTCAGATAACACGGTCGCACAGCTAAGTCTTAGATTGTAAAATATATAACGTTGCATTCAGTTATTGTATAGAGGTCAGCTGAAAAAGGCGAGGCGCAGCAGTGCTTGAGGTGGTTTTGTTTAGCAAGGAAGCGTATGGCAAAAAATTACTGATTTCTGAAAATCGTGTGTATTTTTGCAGTTTTTTTTCATTATTTGTAATTTTTTACTGGAATCGACCGTCGATGGGCTAGCCAAGTATTATGAACGTTTCATTTGGCGAAGAATCATCAGAAGGTACCTTTATTTAAATATTTTCCGTCGGAGTGACTATATCGTAGCGTACTAAAATAATTGCCTGCCGTATTTAGACTTATTTACTATAGGAAAATGCGAACGCATTTACAACATATTAAGAGGTTTCTATTCATGACATAAAAGATTAAACTCACATTCCTTTGTTTAAAGGTTTAATATTCTGATGATGAACTTAAAGCGAAAAGGCAACAACTTGAGTTTAAAAGTAAACTGATCCCACGCGTGATATTTATCGCATATAATTTGTAGCATGAAATGTTCAATATTAGTCAACCTATACCATTTTTGAAAACCGGCGTATCTGTAAAAATCTGAATCAACTCATGTAATGCATTATACAATTATATTGCATTGTATTATATTTGTAAGTTTACATGTTTAAATCATTTTCTGCCACGCGCTAACTTTGTCAAAACCACTCCAACCACCCCCGCGCCCTCGCCGTCTTTTTTCAGCTGACCTCTATACGAAAGCTGAATGCAACGTTATATATTTTAGTATAAAAGCACCTGGATACGAGGCTGGTTACATTGCCTTTGCTTAGAATATATAATTTTTATACATAATATATATTAATTTGTTTTTGTTTCAAATTTAATTATATAGACGGACAATACGAATCATTTCGCGACAGTCAAATTGGCAAGCTATGATGATGATGCGCCTGCAACCTTAGGATGTAAGCTTATTCATGGCATTGTGACATTGTCCTCTTGCGTAAACAATAGCTAGACGACTTATATGGATTTCCAAGGATATCGATGATCAAATTATCATCGGTTAACATAAAAAGGACGTCGAATCATTACCGATAAGAATATAGTCGAATTTTACCCGTATACAAAGCTTTCATTTTTACCGCTCATAAAAGTATGCTAAACATCAGGCTCAGCAGGCATCTTGACTTGTTCACTGCACTAAATGGATACCAGAAATTATGTATCTCATGCGGTTGTAAAAGAGTGGGCACAAGTTAATTGGGAACTTTTTATTTCTATAGGCGAAATTGGATCAGTTGAATCAAAATATTGCGATACAGAAGAAGCACAAGATTGTTTTGGAAGGCATGGGCAAGCTGTTCCCGTCAAATTTGAAAAACCATTTCCAGAAATACCGAAAGTAATAATTAGTCTAACGATGCTTGATACCCACAAAGATAGGAATGTTCGAATACGCGTCTTGGCACAAAAGGTAACGAAAGAAGGTTTCGAAGCTGTATTCCGACCTTGGGATGATTCGGTTATCTTTCAACTTGGCGTAAGCTGGATGGCATGTCCTTCTCGATGAGTTGCGTGTTCGTGAGCATTCACTGTTGATATATTCTTAACCGTTTCTTAGACATAATATGATTTCGTAGTTATGCGTGTAAGTATATTAACGGCAAGTTATTGCATTTTAAAGTTACTGTAGTATTCTTCTTCTATTAATTAAATAAACTTTGTATACATGTGTCATGTGTCACTCATTCTACCCTTTTATATCCCACTACTACCAGGGGCGTAGAAAGCATCCAGAGATTGGTGGGGGGGGGGGGACACCAGCTTCCATTGCACCTCATTGTGGTTTATATTTATGATCTACAAAAATATTTCCGCAGCTAAGTGGGCATATACCTAGGAAACAAAAAGGGCACTTTGATTTTAAAACAGCACTTGCATCATAAAAATGCAACTTTTGGTACCTTGAAAAGATTGGGCATGTGTCTACATGTGACTATTTGGTTCCTAGGCGTTTGTAATAAATACAGATGTAAATCAATAGAGAACCATCTGTACTAACAGGATACTGTATAAAGCAGTTGGCAGGCAAAATGTTTACAAGAATTGACATTTTGTAAAAACGAATTTAAAATTGTATATGGAAAGTAATTTTAATACTTTTTTTTAGATTCAATCTCTGATGACTACAATTTTAATAATGCTCAAACTACTAGGTGCATTTTCATGTTTGCTGAGAAATCACAAAATACTTATATGCAAAAAAGTTATTTCAATATTTATTTCAGCAATGCATGTGCAAATTAAAACATGCATGCATGACCATATAACAATATATATTGGCATTATTAATCATTAACATTTTATAAACAATTTTGTATAAACAATTTTTGTATTCATGTTATTTAATCAACTAATATTGCACAATTAAATTAACATCACAAAAGCTTAATGCAAAGTTTGTGGACATGAATTATTTTCAACTCATTGATTCTTCTAAACAGTAAATGAAAATTGAAATGCTCAAAGAAATTATACACTATGGTATTCTGACCTCCTTATTATAAATGCTGACATTTGTAACAAGAATTAGTCCATACATTTTAATCAAATGCATTAAATTTTTACACAAAAAGCTCTTTTTGAAGAGTGGGCAATGCAAACAAAACATGTTATAGGTATGAAAGGATTCAATTTCAACTGCTTATTGATATTCCATTGCATTGTGCAAAATTAACAAATTGATTGAATGCCACTTTACCCAACAAAGATTAACCTGATCATGTAAAATATAATACATAAATAGAATTAACCAAAGATTTTGCATACTTCAGAAAGCCAAGAATTTTGAATATTACAATACATAATGATCCTGGAATGATTATAATATACCCTTAATCCTAATCTTTGTTGGGTAGAGTGGATGCACTGAAGTTCACGGTGCAACTCGTACAGTTCTGTAATATATATTTTAGTGCAGGCTTGATGTTGGATCTACAGGCTTTGGCCAATTAAATACCCCACCTTTCCACAATTGAAACACTTTCTTTCTACAAAACAAGGAGATTTAGTGACATCGAATATAGTGGATAATGGTAAATATTTTCCTTTAGTTAACAAATTAAGTATTGGTAAATTAATTAACTAAGGATACCATAGAGTAAATGGATGCTATCTGTGAAGATCTTCACTGGAATGTTCATGACTTACTGTTTCCATCTCGATTACAAGCTGCAACAAATAAACAAAGCAAAACTATATAGTTTCTAAATTATGAGTGTGTTATTTTAAATTTAGGTGAATGAAGATAAATAAACTGGAAAGAAGAACATACATTTGCGACACTCTCTCACTTTGTGGCGCCTTTAAGGCCACAATTATAACAACTTCCTAAATGAGAAGGTTATTCATATTATGAAATATTAAAGTTATGTTTGGTGCTTTAGAAATCCACAAATGAAAATAACCTGATCATATAGCAAAATGCTAACACCTTTAAGATTAAATAATTTCTTATCTTCTTGTCTTATATAAAGGAGAAAAGATAGCTGTTCCATATGTCAAGTAATATTTTATAGCAATGTATTAAACGAAAATAAAAGCATACCTTCAGTGCATTGAAATGCTTTCTGACCTTTTAGGCCGCAATTATGACATTTTTCTAAATGAAAAGTTGTTTAAAACATTTAGTTGGTATATGTATAGCTGGCCATGTTTGCCAGTTTAATCAAGTCATCTTCAGTATAGTATATAAAAAGCAATGACTATGTTAAAATAAAGAAAAATTAAGTACCTTCGAACAATGGCACGTTCTTGTCTAGAAAATAGAAAGATTTATTTAATTTCTTATCACACAAGACAATTGTTTGGCTGTGAATTATAATTTTTTCTGTTGTATCATTTTCTTTCTATGTCATCTGTCCCCAAATCCATTCCTCCTATATTTAAAAAACTGCCTGTATAAATTTTTGCTGTATGATTTATGCTCACCGGACCGTTTATATATTCCTATATTAAAATTGCCAAGGAAACCCACCTCCCGATATCGTAGCTTCATTCTCTTCTGCTGCAGCGAAAACGCAAAATTAAATTAAATTGAAAAAATTAATATTAAGCAAATTTTGCTAGAATTCGGTGAAAATATTTTGTACTAGATTCAAATTAATACAACTATCATTGACGCACCAGTATCACGATCACTTTTTTGCAGCACCTCGCTGTCGGTAGCCATCCTGCTTTCTGTCGGAAAACATAGAGTATTTATATTGTACACTGGCGGTCAAAAAGAATTGCTCAAGACAAGTTAAAATGCTCTCAAATGAACGTAACTGTGCCTCTAACAATATCAAGGAGTAAATATAGACTAGATTACATGCTAAGCTATATGAAATATTAATATTTTGTCGACCCTCGGTCTTGCACCGGCGTGGCATACTTTTTGTTAAGGTGGTAATCTTGAGCGGTCAAAAGAAATTCATTCTATGGACAGTTTTTACAGCAACCCATAAATCACGGACGCCTTGTGAATTAATTCCTTTCTTGTACTATCCTCTTGACATTGTTCCACAGATTTTAATAGGGTTAAGGTATTGTGACTGTGCAGGCCAATCAATTTCTGTCACTCCCCTTCCCATGAAACCATTGTTTAACAATCTTCGAAGTGTGGCAGGTTGCATTACATTACTGAAATATTGCTTGGACTAAGAGAATTATCCAAAATGCCTATGAAGCTCTCTCCTATAGAATTATTCGCTTCTTCTTTATGAATTTGTATCTAAACAGTCCTTTTTGACCGCTAGTGTACAATAAAAGATTGATTGTTACGATTCCTGTTACATACGACAATAGCAACATTTGAGCAGTTCTTTTTGACCGCCGGTGTAATTTAGCAGTAATAGGCGAAAATCATTAAAATAATGCCTTTCTAAAAACCTTTTAGTTTTTTTTCTGCTTTATAATCGTGCTGTTCAGATATATGAAAGCTATAAAAGATATGCAAATCAAAAAGCGCGCGAAATAAATTTGATATTTGATTGGTGGAGAGAATGGGCGCAATATGGATACAACATGAAGTATATAACACATTAAAGGAATTTAAATTATTGCAATTCTAATTTGACCATTTTAGGCAATCTGGTTTCTGAGGTAATCGTATTTTGCTGCGCGATTAGAATTGTTTGTGTATCATTAGAATCATCAATATTTGCAACCTCGCAATATTTGTGGATGTGATTGCGGAATTTAGTGGGCGTGTAACGAACAAAATGTAACTAATAATACATCATGTAATTTGCAGACAACTTGGATACGGCATAATCCTAGAGCACAGTGCAAATGAGAATACTTTATTGTACTCCAGCAAGATATGACATTTTCTATACAGTTTATTGAAAAAAAGCAATAGCTCACATATCACTGCTCACACCTAGAGCAATAATTCATGCCTCTGACAATAATTTCAAAAAGGAATTGCAGTATTACATGATATCTGGCGTCATTCATATAGGTTCTCCTTATTCCCTTACTTTGGTAGTAGTACAAGTAGTGCAAGGTACAAACCTGAGAGCCCTGAAATAGAGTAGGGGCAGCATCTGCCAGCTGCATCATTCTTTGTCCAACCTCCTGCAACATGTCCGCGCTGAAATGCTCCGAGCAAAGACGACTCCCCTTCTTCGAAACTTTACTGCTGCATCCTTATTCATGTTCTCCACCCAAACAGCATGCAACTCAGGATTTTTTTTGAGATCAGGAAATCTACAAGGGTTACATTTCAAACTAATTAATGTTTAGAAAGGGGCCATAAAACTATAAATATACTCAAGTTGACATTCACTGCCAGTATTTACTGGTTTTACTGCCTTTACTGTACTACAGTTTTTCATTTTTTCATATCATATACACCTATGAACTATAAGAAACGCTTTATAATAGCTAATTTGATTAATAATTTTATAAACCGTCATATATCTGTAATCTGTCTGCCTGTGTACATTGTATTTAGGTAATACTGTAAAAATGTTTGACGCTATCTCGGCCGGTATTACATTTGTGAAAAAACTATTTATGTGTTTATTGAAACTACAAGTAATATTTAATATTGTATTGAGGAAACTTACCGGTGAGGAAGGAAAAGTTTTTTTCCTTGGTAAGAGAATTGTGGCACCCAAAAGCGCAGCAAAAGGCATTTTCCCTTGTCGTTATATTAAAAACGCGAAGCGAAAAAGTTAAATAAAAGTATTCAAATATTTTCATAAAAACCAAGAGGGAGATGGACACAGTTTTTCACCTTGTATCGCGGTATGTCAGTGGTAGCTACCATGAGCAAAAGGAACCATGTGGCGTCAGCAAAGCTAAAAATCCGCCATGTTTTTGCGGACATGATTTGGCTGCGAGCCGGCCCTCCAGGAATTTAATATAGCTCAGTGGTTGAGCGATCTCCCCGGAATCCGTTGCTAGGCAGCCAAGAGCTACGATGTCCTGGCGACTAGTTATTAACGAGAATATAAATTATCTTACAAAATTAAATGTTATGACTAAACGTCAGCAACTTAACACAAATCATTGAGTTGACCAATCATTACCATGCAGATATTTGTCTATACGTCTCCATCGAATAAATTTCTTTCTCTCTCATTCCACTTGGGCCTAGTTTGGAGGTTTTCAAACTTGACCAAAAAGCAATGGGTAGCATTTTAACAAGCACTCATGAGTTTTTCAAAGGTTCGTCCTTCAGACTCATGCATTTTGAACTCTTGAAAAACCCACTCGTGCATGTTTTTTTCCAAACTGTACTCTAAACCATGCTATTACCTATACAAACACTCTAATGAAGCTTAACAATAAAAGTTTTCTGCAAGGGCAGTTCACACCAATACAGTTTACATGGAAAAATTGGCAACATCTGTCCCCCTGGCTGCTAGTTCAGTAAGTTCACTTGTGCAAGAAGATAATTTCTGGCCAAAATTTGTTACTTGTAAGCCTTGGCGCCCAAAGGAAGAGCATCTTTCGAAGCGTGAAGTAAATTTAACCCATAAGGGAATTTTATCAACGAACGTGTAATGGCAATTCAAGTCAGAATATCTTCTCGCGCTCATGGCCACACATCTAGGCAAAATGCGCGGAACATAGCTAATTTAATACGAGTAAGGAAGTGTACAACCGTTGAACGTAAAAGCACCTCAGCGTCAACTACACCTAAAACTACTAATGATCTGAAACTAGTTCATTTAAACATCCGTTCCCTGAAAAATAATGTCCATTTATTAGAACAACGCAAGTTTGCCAAGTTCAACAAAATCGACGTTCTCACAATATCAGAGACATGGTTAAATACCTCTGTCACAAACAAGGAAATAGAATTGAAGGTTATAAACTACATCGCTTAGATCGACTGCACAAGAAAAGGGGCGGTGTATGCGCCTACATACGAAAAGACATTAAATCTCTTGTACTTAAAGGTCTCAGTTATATTTCTGAGACAAATCAATTATGGATTAAATTACAATGCAAAAAATCTAAATCACTGTTGATCTGCGTCTCCTACCGTCCCCCCGACAGCCCACTCGATTGTTTCGAAAAGTATTATTTTTCTTGGAGACTTAAACTGCGATATGCTTAAGTCCACACCTGAATCAGTGGCTTTGACCAAGATGACCACAGAACTCAACCTTAACCAGTTAATCAAATCACCAACAAGAATCACTGAATCCAGGCAGACCCTTGTCGATGCTATTTTCGTATCCTCGCCTAGACTGGTAGTTAATAGCGGTGTCCTAGAAACCTGTATTAGTGACCATCTTCCAATGTATGTATCACTAAAACTTAAAACCGACAAAGCCCCACCAACCCATATCACAACCCGCAGCTACAATAAATACGACACGGATTTGTTTGTAACCGATCTGGCATCCAACCTTCATCGTTTTGTTTCCATTTTCAGAAAGGACAATGTCGATGAAAAACCATTTTCAATGAGGTATTTTTAAACACATTGGACAATCATGCCCCAATAAAGACAATTAAGGTACGCGGAAAATCTTGTCCATTTATCACACTCATGATTAAAAGAGACCAGCTTCACAGTCTTTTCAGGAAAACACGTGACCATTATGATTGGCTTAACTATAGAGAGGCTCGCAACTTAACAAAAACTGCACTCGTCAATGCTCAGAGAGAGTATGATCTGAAGGAAGTCCAGCAACACAGAAATAATACTGGATCGCTATGGAAGGTGATTAAAGAAAACATAGCTTATAGGGAAAGAGAGACAGTAGTTACAGCAAAGATCCGACATTAGTAGCCGAAGAATTTAATCATTTCTTTTCCACCATCGGTGCGAATGCGGCTAAAAAAGCCCCGACACTAATACAAGATCTTAGTGTTTTTTCCGACCGGAACCTCCCGGTCACAAACGTTTCAAGTAACAACTACATTGAAGAAAATGACAGAATTAACTTTACACCAGTCTATTGTTCAGAAATAAGGAACATCATATCAGCCATGCCTTCAAACAAATCACCTGGCGAAGACAAAGTGTCCATGCGCGTCATCAAAGACAGCTCACCGGTCATTCTCAGGCCTCTCACCGATATCATTAACTGTTCCCTGGCGTCATCCTCTTTCCCTAAAGCTTGGAAAGAAGTTATTCCCCTGCTAAAAGATGGAAATCATGATGAGGCATCAAACAACCGCCCACACTCTCTCTCTCTCCTTACCTTTTTTTCGAAAATCTGTGAAAAAGTTACGTTGAATCAACTTGGTTCATATCTGACGAAGGGCGTGAAATTTTCACCCCACCAAAGCGGAAACAAGAAATATCACTAATGTGAAACCTTCAACCTGTTGATCGGAGATACCATCTTAAAGAATATGGTTGAGAAATCGGTCACTGCACTGATATTATTAGATTTATCAAAGGCTTTCGACAGTGTAAACCACGCCTCCCTTCTTGAAAAGCTTAGCAGTGCAGGCGCTTCTCTAAGCGTGACCAAATGGTTTGAGAGCTACCTGACCGGAATAACACAATCGGCCAGAATCGGTTCCACTGTCTCCACCCATCTCCCTGTTTCATATGGCGTACCTAAGGGGGCAATCCTATCACCTTTGCTCTTTAGCATTTATACCAACGATCTTCCCTCATCAGTTCACCACAGCAAACTGGAATCGTACGTAGACGACTCCAAGATACTACTATCCTTTGTAGTGGCTGATGCGGACCGTTTAAAGCAACGACTAGAGGAAGACCTTCTTTCGGTAGCTAAACACTGCTCTGAAAACGAATTGCTTATTAATCCGGGAAAGACTAAATATATGCTAATTGGCACTCGGCAAAATCTACAACAACTTCCGGAAGACATGACTGTAAATTTCCTCAACGAAGCCATCACCCCTGTTCCTATTGCCAAAGATCTAGGAATGACACTCGACTCTTATTTGTCGTATGACCAGCATATCACCAACTTAGTCTCTGCATGTATGAATTCTCTGCAGGGCCTCTTTTAAGGATATGTAACTGAGTGGGACATTTTCCCCAAGGGACCTGAAATAACGTAAAAAGGGGACCTGAAAAAATCTATTAAAGTCCATAAAATTCCAGTTACTAATTTAAAAATAGGTTTCGCTACACTATAGGGCAAGAGAGCCTGAGGTTGAGATTCTGCGAAAGGAATACTGGAATACGGATTAATTAATATGTTGTCCAATATTAACTTTGGAAGTTATTTTCACACCAAAAATATGAAAAGGGACTTTCTATTGGGAGGGAAAAAATTGCCGACTGGGGGGGAAGTAAGGGGGGCTGGGGGGGCAATTTCCCCCCCAGTCTATATGTTAAAAGAGGCCCTGATTCTCTGTGCCAAATAAATCGAGTCAAAAAATGCTTTGATAAAGAAGCCTTAATTCTTATCATCTCGGCACTCGTTACGAAAAAAATCTTTTACTGTTCAACGGTTTGGTCAAACACATCGTCCACCAACATCAAGAAACTACAGTTGGTCCAAAATTTTGCGTGCAGGATAATTACAAATAAGTTCGACCATATTTCACCAGGTTTACGCGAACTTAATTGGCTCCCAGGAAAAGAACAGCTATTACTCAGAGAGGCTATTATGATGTACAAATGTGTAAATCATCTCGCTTCACGTTACCTGTGCGATTTATTCACTATATAGGCGGTCTGATATTCATCAACGAAATACACGTAGCCAAGATTTACTGCAAATACCACTTTATAAAACTTCTGTGGGTCAAAGGTCTTTTCATTATAGAGGCGTTACACTCTGGAACAAGTTGGACATTAAGTATAAAATTTTAGATTCTCTAAAAACTTTTAAAAACGAACTGAAGCAAAGCTTCTTGGAACAACTATATAGTTGAATACTTACAGTACCTTGTCTTGATATTTTATATAAATGTCTTATTCATTAGCGTAGATTAATTTTAAATTTCAAAATTTTTAAATAGAATTATTAACATCTTATTCATTGTAAATTAGTGTTGAAAACCCTGCTTGGGAACACAATAAAGTTTGTAATTGTAATTGTAATTGTAATTGTAATTGTAATTGTAATTGTAATTGTAATTGTAATTGTAATTGTAATTGTAACTCAGCCAGTCATCTCCATCATCCCTCCTACACTTGCATTTCGTCTACTATAAAAATATAAATGATTTGACTGTTCTCCCAAGCCTAATTTTGCTCATTGCTGCTCAGCAAAACAAAACAAACATTTGATTTACCTGTCAATGTCATTGTAGCATGACCCACATGTGGTTTCAAATATGTGTTTGCGTTGAATAGCCAAATGAATTGGTAAACAGGGTCTTCTCAACCAAACTGAAGTTAATATCAGACCATGCATGTACGTCTAGTACTAGAATTGGCTTGGACTATCTGGGAAATATAGTATTCAACACCAAATTTTCTAAGTGTGCTGGCATCTGGCGTCCTGACTTCAGGAACTCCAGAAAATCTTGTAAAGAAACCTATTTTTATGAAATAACAAGAAATTTTTTTCATAAACAAATTTTATATTCTTTCATGGCATTCAAAATTCGAGAGAAAATAAAAGTCAGAGGCATCCTGACTAAATTGTGCGGTGTTCGATCGCTATAAAATCCAAGTTCTACATACCTTGTGTTTATTTATCTTTGTTTTAGGCTTTGTATCGACACTGGCAGTATTAGTCCCAGTTGTAAAATTAGCCATTTAACAACGATTAAAGTGCCTATATCACTCGTGGAATCTTTATGCATTTGAAAAGAATGTAAAAAGTTAGTCAATATATTAAAAAAAGTTTTTTGATTTAGTGCAATAATTTTGAAGATACTAGCCTTTAAACTACCTGCCGTTTCTGAGACCCAGGCTCCTGTAAACAATGGGCAGTTTCAAATTGAATAGCCGTGTTTAAACCCAGGAGGTTGGGACTCAGGAACCGGAGGTAGTTTAGAGGCTTGTATCTTCGAAATTATTGCACTAAATCAAAAAACTTTTTAATATAATAAATAACTTTTTACGTTCTTTTCGAATGCATAAAGATCACACGAGTGATATAGGCTCTTTAAACGATTAAAATAAAGCTTTTAAGACGCACGCTTTCTCTGTAGCCGAACACTTGCAAAATTTATTAGCGAAAATAAATCATGCATGTCATTGCGCATGTGCAGAAACGCAAAAGTCGAAGATTTCGCATGTCAGAGATTTCGCGTCACACCGGGAGGTATTTGATCCTTCTCAAGCGCTTTCTTGCATACAGATCCTCTCTTACAAATTTCCCTGGCCGTGGAAGAGGCGGTTGTAATGATATGCAATTCTGTCATGCCTCATTGATATTCTTATTACTTTCTACTTGATATAAATATATGCTGTTTGTAGTTTTAAGTTAGTAATAAAGTTGTTCTTAACACAGTCGGTTCTGGCGGTTTTAGCATGAAATCATTACATGGTGTCAGGTGTGGGATCATCTAACATTATATATATCTATATATATATATAAGAAGACAATTATGGCTGAAACGACCGGGTTTCGAACGCCCGAGATGAACTGGCAAGCTACAGATTTGCCTGATGAATTTGCAAAGTTTAAACAGTACTGTAGTTTGATCTTTGCTGGCCCGTTCGCCGAGAAGACCGAGAAAGAACAAGCCTCGTTCATTCTTCTATGGATTGGAAGGCAAGGGATCGAGACCTACAATAGTTGGTCGTGGGAAGACGATTCCGAATGTATGAAACCAAGTAAAATTTGGGAGCGGTTCGAAAGGCATCTAGCGCCGAAAGTGAACCATCGTCTAGCAAGGTATCAATTACAGCACTTAAAGCAGATGCAAGAAGAATCTATTGATGATTTCATGACTCGTTGTCGAAATCAGGCTACAAAATGCAGGTTTAGAGATGTTACTGAGATAAGTGAGCGCTTGATTGAGCAGTTAATTATCGGTTCTAAACACAAAAAAGTACAAGAGCGATTGTTATCCAAAGGGGAATCTCCCACGTTAGACGAAGCAATGGACGTTTGCAGAACTTACGAAGCTACGCTGACACAGATGGGTCAACTTGACAGTGGCCAAACGAAGGAGATTCATGGTATGCGCAGTGATAACAAGCCGAAAAAATGTGGCAATTGCGGGGGAGGGCATCTTAGTAATCCGAATATTAAATGCCCTGCCTACGGAACTGAATGTAAGAAGTGTGGAAAAGCTAATCATTGGGCTAGAGTTTGTCGTTCGAAGCGAGAGCTGCGAAGTCTTTCACGACGACAAAGACCAACTTCGAGAAGTCGTTCAAGTTACAAGAATAGTGAGCATGGTGAAAAATCGAAAACAACTAGGGGTAAAGATCAACAATACAAAGATATAAACGGCCAGTTCGAAGCAATAACATTCGAGTCGATATCCGTGAATACCGTTAAACCCGCTCAGAATGAAGTCTTCGTTACTGTGAAGGTAGACCTGAATCGGGGTGTCAGTTGCTCAACATCACTGAAAGCCAAGCTCGATACAGGAGCTCAAGGAAACATTCTACCACTAAGACTGTTTCGACAAATGTATCCACGGTATGTTGCAGCAAGCGGCTTGCCTAAATCAGGGAGTCTTGAGAGTTCTACAACAGTGTTGACAGCATATGGGGGGACAAAGATAGTACAATATGGCATTTGTAAGATACCCTGTCAGTTCCAAAATCGGAGATCAGAAGCGGCATTCTATGTTACCGAGGCAGATGGCCCAGCAATTATTGGTCTTCCAACATCATTGGAGCTTGACTTGGTTACATTGAACTGCTCGGTGCAGAAGAGTCCGGATGCTCAACCCACCCCCGAAACCCTTCCTGTAAAACCTATTGGCAACAAGGCTGATCTGATGTCACAATACCCTGGATGTTTTGATGGGATTGGGAAGTTGCAAGGTCAATATCACATCACCTTGGATCCATCAATACCCCCAGTTGTCCACACACAGAGACGCGTGCCATTGAGTTTGCGTGACGATATCAGAAACGAGCTGACGAAGATGGAGAGCCAAGGTGTGATTAATATTGCTAAAATTAAAGAGGGGGAACCAACTGCATGGGTTAATAGCTTGGTGTATCGTCGGAAAGCAGATGGATCGCTGAGAATATGCCTTGATCCAAAGGATTTGAATAAAGCCATTCTGAGGGAGCATTATACAATACCTACTTTAGAAGAAATTCTCCCAAAGCTTACTGGAGCTAAGTTGTTCTCGATAGTAGATGCTAAGTGTGGGTATTGGAACGTAGAGTTAGACAAGAAGTCGAGCTACTTAACAACGTTTAACTCACCATACGGACGTTATCGGTTTTTACGGATGCCGTTCGGGTTAAAAATGTCTCAGGACGTTTTCCAAGCAAAGATAGACCAGACGTTTGAAGGCTGTGAAGGCGTGGTTGGCATCGCTGATGATATTGTGGTTTTTGGAAGGACCGACGTCGAGCATGATCGGCATATGCACGAAATGATGACAAAATGTCAAGAGACGGGGCTGAAGCTGAATCCTGACAAGTGTAAAATTAAAGAAACGAAGATCAAATTTTATGGTGTTATGTGCAGTGAGAACGGAATTCAACCGCATCCTGCCAAGGTATCTGCCTTACAGAATATGGCACCTCCATCCGATATCCAAGAGCTTCAAGCTTTTCTCGGGTTAGCAACTTATATGAGTCCGTTCATTCAGAATCTCAGTGATTTAACAGCACCGCTACGTGACCTGGCGAAGAAGGGGAACGTTTTTGAATGGAATCCATCCCGTCAGGTGACGTTTGAAGCTATCAAGCGTCTAATCAGCGATGATTCAACATTGGCTTATTACGATCCTGAGAAAGAAATTACTCTTCAAGTCGACGCATCCACAAAAGGCCTGGGAGCTACGTTACTCCAAGAGGGGAAACCGATCGCTTTCGCTAGTAAAAAGTTGACTGAGACAGAGGCACGTTATGCAAATATCGAACGAGAGCTACTGGCGGTAGTGTATGGATGTGAGCGATTTCACACATACTTGTTTGGGGCGAAGTTTCGTGGTTGAATCAGATCATAAACCCTTGGAGTCTATCCAGTTGAAGCATTTAATTTCAGCACCCCCAAGGCTTCAACGGATGTTGTTACGGTTGCAACCGTATGACGTGACCATCCGATATAAGCCTGGAAAACAGGTGCAAATAGCTGATGCTCTGTCAAGGCTTTCACCCGAAGAGAGGACGCCAATACCTGACCTAAACGTGCAAATCCATCACGTTTGTCCCCAGTTTTCCAGTGAGTATTTGCAGAAGATTAAGGTCGAGTCAAATAAGGATGCGGAGATGATTGCACTCCGGATTATGGTATGTGGTGGCTGGCCTACAACGATAAAGGAAGTACCTATCATTTTAAGGCCTTATTGGACGTTTCGAGACGAGTTAACTATGGAGGACGATCTTCTCTTTAAGGGTCATCGTACTATCATTCCAGCTACAGTTCAAAATGATGTCCTTTCCAGGTTACATGCAAGTCACCAGGGTGTGGAGAAAACCAAATTGAGGGCTAGATCGTCGGTATTTTGGGTGAATCTGAATAAGGATATTAACGAGATGACTAGAATGTGTAACGTATGTCAGAATTATCAGAGTAAACAGCCTAGAGAGCCACTGATTCCCAGTGATATACCACCTCGACCATGGCACACGATTGGAACTGATTTTTTTTATTTCGACGAGGAGGAATATCTATTGATTGCTGATTATTACTCGAAATATCAAATCGTGCGAAAGGTACCGAGGGGCTGCAGCAATAGCAAGATGATAGTGGAATTAACGAAGCAGATCTTTAGCGAGCATGGTATCCCAGCGATTGTCAGATCTGATAATGGACCACATTTCCAAGGTCATTACAAAACATTTGCGGAAGATTTCGGTTTTGAACATATCACAAGTTCTCCGCATTATCCGCGTAGTAATGGATTTATTGAGAGCCAAGTGAAGATTGTAAAGAAAATTTTTCAGAAGGCAAGAAAGTCGAAGGTAGATCCACATATGGCCCTATTATGCCTTCGTTCTACTCCAATAGATAGTCAACTTTCGTCTCCAGCCGAGCTATTGTTTGGACGGCAAATACAGGACAATCTTCCTAGGAGAGACCTAGAACAAGCCAAGATAAGTCCGTTCCGAGATGTGTTTTCAAGACTACAGGAGAGACAGACAAAGCAGAAGTATTATTACGATCGGTCAACGAAAAGTCTACCAAGCCTATGTCAAAGGCAAAACGTGATGGTTCAAAACCCGAGAAGTCTTGAATGGGAACCAGCCGAAATAGAAAGCGAGATCGAAAAGGCTCCACGATCCTATAATGTATCGATTCCCGATGGAAGAGAATTACGACGAAATCGATCGCAGATTCGGGAACGTAGCTGTAAGAGAGTTCGTATTAATCCAAGTCCGGAGTCGCCAAAAGAGATCAAACCACAATCAACTCAAGAGATCGATAGTCCGGCTGCTGTACAGAGATCGGAACTAGCCAAGAGTGCAAATGATCACTACACGACTAGGAGTGGAAGGATCGTGAAGCCTCCGCAAAGATTGAACCTTTAATGAATGAATTGTCTTTGTTTGAATAGGTTAAATTATCACTTATAGCTCTATTATAATAACATTAGTAAAAAAAGAAAAAAAGGATTTATGTAGCAGTAGCATTGATCAATTGAGAGCTTTATATTTTATAATAGGAAAAAGGGGATGTAATGATATGCAATTCTGTCATGCCTCATTGATATTCATATTACTTTTTACTTGATATAAATATATGCTGTTTGTAGTTTTAAGTTAGTAATAAAGTTGTTCTTAACACAGTCGGTTCTGGCGGTTTTAGCATGAAATCATTACAGCGGAAATCATTCTGCTTCATAGAAAGGGGCATCGACGGTGATAAGGGAAGTGGGTCGGCACTATCAGCTGATACGATGGCGATTGGTTGGTTGTTTACGATAGCTGTAACTTCGTAAGGAGTAACTCGTCGTTGAATTGAACTGCTCCGATATTTAGCAACATTGCATTTAACATTCTACGTATCGTTCCTATTTTGCCGCTCCCACACACCGCTGAAGTGAGAGGCGTGCGGAGGATTAAACTTCTATTCGCACCCTTGATATATACAACTTACGTCTGGATTCTCTCTGCATCCATTTCTTTCAGTCCGCCATCAAGCTCCTGATTCGTACCAGAGAGTCCCATCTTTAAATGGATGCCGGGCCGAGAATGGCGAAGAAACAGCATAATGCGCATACGAAGGAATTCGTGTCCATTGAGTGAAGGATCTCGATATGTATTCATCTGCTACAGAGACAAGTAAATACCAGGGTCCATCAGGGCCCGACATTGGTAAACGGCGGGTGGGCTTCCACTCGATCAACAGGTATAAGTCCGCCACAATCTCTCGACGTTAGATGCAGGTTTTCGTTCTCGGCGCTTCGACCATTGCTGAGGCTTTCGTGTTTCTTTGCTTGCTTTGCAGTTCTTCAGTAATTAGAAAGGCTACTGCACGTTGCAGTTTATCGCAATCCGAAAAACGGTGGAACCGTTTTGTCTTAAAACTCTCTCCGTTGTTGGGCTTGCAATGCAGAATACACACTTACTCTGACCTCGGGATCATTCTCGTCGAATGTTGCTTCATCTATTCTGGTCGGTGCCGCCTCGTCATTAAGTGGTAGGCTGGATAGCGTCATTCTCAGGAATGAGGGAACTTTAAGCCAATCGGATTCTACCAACCCCTTAGCCGTTGTGCCACGGGTAGAAAAATCAGCCGGATTCGTGGACGTGTCAACATAGTTCCATTGTTGTGGCTCTGATACATCCCTGATCGACTGGACTCGATTGGCGACATATACACGGAACTGCGAGCATTGTTGTTGATAAATCGTAAGACGACCTTTGAGTCCGTAAAGAACCTAACATCTTCTATCTTCAACTCGAGTTCCTTCCGTAACCTCGTTACCGCTTTCGTAGACAGGACAGCTGCACGCATCTCGAGTCGTGGGATGCTAGTCTGTCGATTGGTTGCTACATCAGGCTAACGCTGGCCTCGCCTTTCTGGTTGAGTTGCTTCAGATTCGCTGCTACTCCAACAGCTTCTTTGCTCGCATCGGAGAATGCATGAACTTCTTTACGTACTACAGGATCAAAGTTCTTAGGAAGGGTAGCATCGATCTGCACAAAGGTTTTGTAAGCAAGTAAGTTGGTTCCTCCTAACTATCATATTATTCATTTTTTAAAAAAAATTAACAAAAAATGCTTGTATACACACAATATTAAAAGAATATGGGCGTATATATAGTATATTTTAAATTTTTTGGTTACCTGCTATATTTTGAAATGTTTTAGTCTCAGTTTGAAAGATAACATTGTGATAGCTAGTGAGATGTGATCTTAGATCCACAATTTTATGGCATTTGAATTGGCCGTGCGAGCAAAGACAATTCCCTGCTCGGTCTGCAACTTTTGACGATGTTTCCGTTGAATGTGACACGTCAAATCGTTTCTTCTGGTGAGAATCATTTCGCAATATCTACACTTTGGCTTTTTTGATGTTGTTTCTATCTTATATCCCTGATAACATTGTCGTAATCAAGTAATGCCTTTGATGTATTTAGCACGTCCGCAGGTTATTGCCTGCTTGACTGATCAAGGGTTCGTTGAAGAGACGGCGCATTCGACTGATCCTAATTATTGATTCCAGATAATGAAGCATGATTCTCAGATTGGTCCCAAAGTAGATGCCAGGCGTTGTGAAGAAGATTCTTACAGAGCAACAAATATAATTTCTAGATACAAGATAATTTTTATTATTTTGGAAGGATAAAATTATATAGCACCATAAGACTATACAGGGTGTATCAGAAAAAACTAGAAGATTTTAAAATGTCCAAAAAACTATCATTTTATCAAAATATCTCAAAAATATACTTACGTCTAAGTATTTTAGCATCTTCTGGCTTATCTAACAGTAAAAGCTATCAGAAAAATTAACCTAAATAAGCGGGAGAACGGTTTGTAAAAGCCTCATTTTTAACCGCTTGCGCAAAGAAAATGAGAGGTTCAAAATCCAAGTTCATTTAAAGAGATGAAAGTTTGGACTCTTTTGTGCAATGTATCAAAATTTCAGAAAATTTGATAAACATTAAGTCCGCTGTGAAACGTTTCAAAATTGGACTTTTTTCCGTTTACTCCGCTCTCGCGTAATCTTTTTTCATGCAAGAATGCCGATTACATGCATGAGTTAAGTACGTCACTCGAACCAATTTTGAAACGTTTCACGGCGGACTTAATGTTTATCAAATTTTCTGAAATTTTAATACATTGCACAAAAGGGTCCAAACTTTCATCTCTTTAAATGAACTTGGATTTTGAACCTCTCATTTTCTTTGCGCGAGCGGTTAAAAAGGAGGCTTTTACAAACCGTTCTCTCGCTTATTTAGGTTAATTTTTCTGATAGCTTTTACTGTTAGATAAGCCAGAAGATGCTAAAATACTTAGACGTAAATATATTTTTGAGATATTTTGATAAAATGATAGTTTTTTGGACATTTTAAAATCTTCTAGTTTTTTCTGATACACCCTGTATTATAAATACTGGACTACCACTCAAAAAATCATGATTACAACTAATGTTCAATCACCATGCAAATAAAAAGGATGTACTGGATTGCAGTTTCAGAAATTAAAAATCATAATTGCTATTGACCGAGGACGCGCTCACAAATCCTAAATTAAATAATTCGAAATGTAATCTACTTACATATCCACTTACAGATAGCTCAGCTACAATGCTGAGTGGTAGTTTTTGTGCATTTTCTTTGGGTAATGATGACTGGTGACGTTCATGTGACTCTAATGACGTTGGTGGAACTAAATGTGACGAAAGAGTTACAAATGCATGAGGAAAACATTATTAACGTTTACTTCGTTCTCTGCCACCCATGCTGCGAAAACACGTCGAAGATACTGCTGGAACCAGTAGCATTTTGAAGAAAAAAATCAGGCGACTGTTTGCTGAGGTTAGACTGTAGCGTTGCAGCATTTATGTATCCTTTCACTTGATTGACCAAACCGTCTGGGATGGGCCAGGCTAGGGAGTCCCCACAAACAATTTTTCTAAATCCACAAGACACAACGTTTAGTGATTGCCTCTGCGATTGTCAGTTACGAAAAAGGTTTTTCCCTCTGATGCCCCAACGTTAAGAGCAAACAGTAACTGGTTTGAAGTCTTAGGCACAATCGTTTTAGAGAAACGGCGCTCTTGTCAGATCTTTGTTTATCATCTCATTCAAATACACGCAGTAGGTTTCTGTTTGTGAGCGGTTTAAGATTTTTGTCATCCAACAAATGTGGTCATTAGAAATCCAACGTTTAAGACAAAATTCGACGGTTTGTTTGGTGACATACAAGGTTGCAACATTTCGTCATTTCTGTTTGTGTACAGCATGTGTTGAAACTTAGCTATCGACGATGCACAAGGATGCTCCATTTGTAGCTTTGCGAATTTACTGGCAAACCAGACTCGAGTAATAATCGATCTGCTTCGGTTCAAACAGATATTCCTCCAATGTCCAATAACCCGTCTAATTTCCCAGTGATAGAGTTGGATAATACTAAGGAAAGGGAATCTCCTAAGCAAAATAGTGATTCAGTTAAATCAAAACGTAAAAACAAAGCCAAAGGGAAAAAGAAATTACAAGAGTCTAATGTAAACCAACAACGCGATGAATCATTAGTTAATCTTCCTAACAATACGCTTAATACCAATCAACCTGATCATGATGATAATTATCATAACAGCAGTATTCAAAGTGAGACCCGTCATGGTAAACAAGGTCGAGATATGAACATGTCCAGTTCTGATAAGAAAGTTACAGTAGTTGCAGGTGACTCAATCATAAAAAACTTGCAGGGATGGCGCCTATCAGACGTGAACAACCATGTTGTTGTTAAGAGCTTTGCAGGTGCCACAATTGAGGATATGGAGGACTACTTGAAACCAGTTATTCGCAAAGAACCTGAGACAATAATACTGCATGTTGGTACTAATGACTTAAAAAAACTATCATCTAAACAAGTAGCCGAGGGCATTTCAAATTTGGGTGTTCAGATTAAAGAAGAATCACCAAATACTAATATTGTGCTTTCCAGCATTACACTACGAACAGATAACCCGTATCTAACTGCTAAAGCAAACGATGCTAACAAATTGATAAACTCATTTTGCACTAGGAATAAGTGGAAATTCATAAACCACTCGGCGATCAATTCTACCTGTTTAAACACTAGAGGCTTGCACCTGAATCGTAAAGGAACCTCTTATTGCCAAAAACATTAGCCAATTCATTGTTACTAATTAGGAATTTGCCACACGGGAGTCGGTGAATTCCAGTCCTACAAATCAATCTAATAATTATTCTCTTCAACAAACTTTAAGTAAGCGAGGTCTTGTGATAGCATGTCTAAATATTAATAGCTTAGTTGCGCATATTGATCAACTTAGGATCTTCCTCGACACTTATAAAATTGATATACTAGCAATCAATGAATCTAAATTGGAT